TAGAGTTAAAGTGACTATGCATAAATACTTAACAGAGTAGCAGCAGCGTAAAAAGGATGGGGTGGGGGGGCAGTGCAAATAGTCCGGGTAGCCATGATTAGCTGTTCAGGAGTCTTATGGCTTGGGGGTAGAAGCTGTTGAGAAGTCTTTTGGACCTAGACTTGGCACTCCGGTACCGCTTGCCGTGCGGTAGCAGAGAGAACAGTCTATGACTAGGGTGGCTGGAGTCTTTGACAATTTTGAGGGCCTTCCTCTGACACCGCCTGGTATAGAGGTCCTGGATGGCAGGAAGCTTTGCCCCAGTGATGTACTGGGCCGTACGCACTACCCTCTGTAGTGCCTTGCGGTCGGAGGCCAAGCAGTTGCCATACCAGGCGGTGATGCAACCAGTCAGGATGCTCTCGATGGTGCAGCTGTAGAATTTTTTGAGGATCTGAGGACCCATGCCAAATCTTTTTAGTCTCCTGAGGGGGAATAGGCTTTGTCGTGCCCTCTTCACGACTGTCTTGGTGTGTTTGGACCATGATAGTTCGTTGGTGATGTGGACACCAAGGAACTTGAAGCTCTCAACCTGTTCCACTACAGCCCCGTCGATGAGAATGGGGGCGTGCTCAGTCCTCTTTTTTTTCCTGTAGTCCACAATCATCTCCTTTGTCTTGGTCATGTTGAGGGAGAGGTTGTTGTCCTGGCACCACACGGCCAGATCTCTGACCTCCTCCCTATAGGCTGTCTCATCGTTGTCGGTGATCAGGCCTACCACTGTTGTGTTGTCGGCAAACTTAATGATGGTGTTGGAGTCGTGCCTTGCCATGCAGTCATGGGTGAACAGAGAGTACAGGAGGGGACTGAGCACGCACCCCTGAGGGGCCCCCGTGTTGAGGATCAGTGTGGCAGATGTGTTGTTACCTACCCTTACCACCTGGGGGCGGCCCGTCAGGAAGTCCAGGATCCAGTTGCAGAGGGAGGTGTTTAGTCCCAGGATCCTTAGCTTAGTGATGAGCTTAGAGGGCACTATGGTGTTGAATGCTGAGCTGTAGTCAATGAATAGCATTCTCACGTAGGTGTTCCTCTTGTCCAGGTGGGAAAGGGCAGTGTGGAGTGCGATAGAGATTGCATCATCTGTGGATCTGTTGGGGCGGTATGCAAATTGGAGTGGGTCTAGGATTTCTGGGATAATGCTGTTGATGTGAGCCATGACCAGCCTTTCAAAGCACTTCATGGCTACAGACGTCAGTGCTACGGGTCAGTAATCATTTAGGCAGGTTATCTTAGAGTCCTTGGGCACGGGGACTATGGTGGTCTGCTTGAAACATGTTGGTATTACAGACTCAGTCAGGGACATGTTGAAAATGTCAGTGAAGACACTTGCCAGTTGGTCAGCACATGCTCGGAGTACACGTCCTGGTAATCCGTCTGGCCCTGCGGCCTTGTGAATGTTGACCTGCTTAAAAGTCTTACTCACATCGGCTACGGAGAGCGTGATCACATAGTCATCCGGAACAGCTGGTGCTCTCATGCATGCTTCAGTGTTGCTTGCCTCAAAGCGAGCATAGAAGTGGTTTAGCTCGTCTGGTAGGCTTGTGTCACTGGGCAGCTCGCGGCTGTGCTTCCCTTTGTAGTCTGTAATAGTTTTCAAGCCCTGCCACATCCGACGAGCGTCAGAGCCAGTGTAGTATGATTCAATCTTAGACCTGTATTGACTCTTTGCCTGTTTGATGGTTCGTCTGGGGGTCATAGCGGGATTTCTTATAAGCGTCCGGGTTAGAGTCCCGTTCCTTGAAAGCGGCAGCTCTACCCTTTAGCTCAGTGCGGATGTTTCCTGTAATCCATGGCTTCTGGTTGGGGTATATACGTACGGTCACTGTGGGGACGACATCATCGATGCACTTATTGATGAAGCCAGTGACTGATGTGGTGTACTCCTCAATGCTGTCTGAAGAATCCCGGAACATGTTCCAGTCTGTGCTAGCAAAACAGTCCTGTAGCTTAGCATCTGCGTCATCTGACCACTTTTTTATTAACCGAGTCACTGGTGCTTCCTGCTTTAGTTTTTGCTTATAAGCAGGAATCAGGAGGATAGAGTTATGGTCAGATTTGCCAAATGGAGGGCGAGGGAGAGCTTTGTATGCGTCTCTGTGTGTGGAGTAAAGGTGGTCTAGAGTTTTTTTTCCCTCTGGTTGCACATTTAACATGCTGGTAGAAATTAGGTAGAACGGATTTAAGTTTCCCTGCATTAAAGTCCCCGGCCACTAGGAGCGCTGCATCTGGATGAGCGTTTTCCTGTTGATTAATGGCCTTGTACAACTCATTCAGTGCAATCTTAATGCCAGCATTGGTTTGTGGTGGTAAATAGACAGCTATGAAAAATATAGATGAAAACTCTCTTGGTAAATAGTGTGGTCTACAGCTTATCATAAGATACTCTACCTCAGGCGAGCAAAACCTCGAGACTTCCTTAGTATTTGATTTTGTGCACCAGCTGTTGTTTACAAATATACACAGACCGCCACCCCTTGTCTTACCAGAGTCAGCCGTTCTGTCCTGCCGATGTAGCGTATAGCCTGCTAGCTGAATGTTATCATTGTCGTCGTTCAGCCACGACTCCGTGAAACATAAGATATTACAGTTTTTAATGTCCCGTTGGTAGGATAACCGTAATCTTAAATCGTCCACTTTATTTTCAAAAGATTGAACGTTGGCTAATAGGATTGATGGAAGAGGCAGTTTACTCGCTCGCCGTCGGATCCTTACAAGGCACCCCGATCTACGTCCGCGATATCTCCTTCTCTTCCTCACGCGAATGACGGGGATTTGGGCCTTGTCGGGTGTCTGTATGATATCCTTCGCGGCCGCCTCGTTGAAGAAAAAATCTTCGTCCAATACGAGGTGAGTAATCGCTGTCCTGATATCCAGAAGCTCTTTTTGGTTATAAGAGACGATGGCAGAAACATTATGTACAAAATAAATTACAAATAACGCGGAAAAACACACATAATAGTACAATTGGTTAGAGGGCTGTAAAACGGCAGCCATCTTCTCCGGCGCTGTTCTCTGTATTTGAGATTCTTCAAAGTAGCCACCCTTTGCCTTGATGACAGGTTTGCACACTCTTGGCATTCTCTCAATCAGCTTCATGAGGTAGTCACCTGGAATGCTTTTCCAACTGTCTTGAAGGAGTTCCCACATATGCTGAGCACTTGTTGGCTGCATTTCCTTCACTCTGCGGTACAACTCATCCTAAACCATCTCAATTGGGTTGAGGTCGGGTGATTGTGGAGGCCAGTTCATCTGATGCAGCACTCCATTACTCTCCTTCTTGGTCAAATAGCCCTTACACAGCCTGGAGGGGTGTTTTGGGTCATTGTCCTGTTGAAAAACAAATGATAGTCCCACTATGTGAAAACCAGATGGGATGGCGTATCGCTGCAGAATGCTGTGGTAGCCATGCTGGTTAAGTGTGCCTTGAATTCTAAATAAATCACAGACAGTGTCACCAGGAAAGCACCCCCACACCATCACACCTCCTCCTCCATACTGGGAACCACACATGCGGAGATCATCCGTTCACCTACTCTGCGTCTCACAAAGACACGGCAGTTGGAACCCAAAATCTCAAATTTGGACTCATCAGACCAAAGGACAGATTTCCACTGGTCTAATGTCCATTGCTCGTGTTTCTTAGCCCAAGCAAGTCTCTTCTTATTATTGGTGTCCTTTAGTGGTGGTTTCTTTGCAGCAATTCGACCATGAAGTCCTGATTCACGCAGTCTCCTCTGAACAGTTGATGTTGAGATGTGTCTGTTACTTGAACTACTTGAGCATTTATTTGGGCTGCAATCTGAGGTGCAGTTGATTGCCGATTTCTGAGGCTGGTAATTCTAATGAACTTATCCTCTGCAGCAGAGGTAACTCTGGGTCTTCCTTTCCTGTGGCGGTCCTCATGAGAGCCAGTTTCATCATAGCGCTTGATGGTTTTTGCGACTGCACTTGAAGAAACTTTCAAAGTTCTTGAAATGTTCCAGATTGACTGACCTTCATGTCTTTAAAGTAATGATTGACTGTCATTTCTCTTTGCTTATTTGAGCTGTTTTTGCCATAATATGGACTTGGTCTTTTACCAAATAGGGCTATCTTCTGTATACCACCCCTAACTTGTCACAACACAACTGATTGGCTCAAACGCATTAAGAAGGAAAGGCAATGAACAAGGCACACCTGTTAATTGAAATGCATTCCAGCTGGTTGAGAGAATGCCAAGAGTGTGCAAAGATGTCATCAAGGCAAAGGTTGGCTATTTGAAGAATCTCATATATAAAATATATTTTGATTTGTTTAACACTTTTTTGGTTACTACATGATTCCATATGTGTTATTTCATAATGTTTGATGTCTTCACTATTATTCTACAATGTAGAAAATAGTACAAAATAAAGAAAAACCCTGGAATGAATAGGTGTGTCCAAACTTTTGACTGGTACTGTATTTCTTAATTTTTTTAGGAACTCAGTCGCGGTCTCAACTTGCTGTTGAGAGTTAGAATAGTAGAATAAATGTGGTTGTGCATCAGCAGTTTTTCTCTTGTGTTGTCAGTCACTGACAGTCACTCAGTTAGCCCATTGCAGCTAACATTGTTTAGATTGGTAAGTTAGTCTAGACAGTTATCTAAACTTATAATAATCATGTCCGAATACCGACCGGGCACGCAGGGCATGTGCCCAGGGTCCCTGACCTCCAGGAGGCCCAAATTGATTTTGTTAGTCACTCTCACTCAGATATCATTAACATGACATAAGTCATGGCAAAATGTGTAGAATTGCAGGAAATTTGTTTTAAAACAGCAACAACCAAAAAATCCACACCATGGTAAAATGGGTATAAATGCAGGGAATTAGCTTTAAAATTGCAACATTTTCTCTCTGCCCCATGGCAAAATGAGTAGAACTATCTGTGTATAACACACACACACACACACACACACACTTCACTCATTGTGTTTTTTTATGTTGTCTTGCCAACTACAGAAGTACAGTAATGACTGGTGGATCGGCCGGCTGGTGAAGGAGGGCTGTGAGATCGGATTCATCCCCAGCCCTCTGAAACTAGAGAACATCCGTCTACAGCAGGAGCAGAAGAGAGGTACCCGCTCTTACGGGTAAGGCCTGGGTGGAGGGGGGGGGGGGGGCTTGGTTGGGTGGATGGGCAGTGTTGGATGGTGGGTTGAGGGGCTGGGGGGGGCTTTGTTGGGTGGAGGGGCTGTGTTGGAGGGTGGGTTGAGGGGCTGGGGGGGGGCTTGGTTGGGTGGAGGGGCTGTTTTGGAGGGTGGGTTGAGGGGCTGGGGGGGGCTTGGTTGGGTGGAGGGGCTGTTTTGGAGGGTGGGTTGAGGGGCTGGGGGGGGCTTGGTTGGGTGGAGGGGCTGTTTTGGAGGGTGGGTTGAGGGGCTGGGGGGGGCTTGGTTGGGTGGAGGGGCTGTTTTGGAGGGTGGGTTGAGGGGCTGGGGGGGGCTTGGTTGGATGGAGGGGCTGTGTTGGAGTGTGGGTTGGGGGTTGGAGAGGGGATAACAGTTTCTAAGAACTTTCCTGAATAAGCATTAATCAACTATTTATAAACTACTTTATTAAGCATTTATAAAAGTATTATAAAAGGTTACTGAAGCGGGAAAGAGACATGGGTGGGTCTGATGAGAGGCCACCTATTCTCCACTCCAGGTTTGACTCTGCTGTGACTAGGTTGGTTTACTTATAATAACAGATCAGCGACTACTCATAATAACAGATTGGTGACGTGTTTCTTAGGTGACACTAATATGAAAGAGATGATATGCATCATCTTATATTAGTTTCCTCATTGCCGATTATGACAGAGAGAATAGTCACTCTCGCCCTATTGAGTCATTCAGCTCTGTTTTAACTCTTTGTTGTCTACTTTAAAGGAGACTTTGTCTTCAGCATTGGCTTCATGTTGCCGAGGGTTACATTATGTAACAATTGTGGTAAAACAGTGTGTATGTCATCTTACATAGTGCCGCGATAGATATAATCTCCAAGACAATCACCGCTCATAAATTATATATTAGCCACTTCAATTCCAGCCCCTTTGTTATCACAATTCCTGGAACAATGCGTAGTCAATACTCATCTATTCTAGCACGTAATTATAGTATTCTTCCATTCTACTGGTAGACCATTCTATTCTAATGCTAAATATTCAACATGGACACAAATCAAACTTTAGAAGTGCATTTAAACCTGCAACAAAATGTACAGTAAAATAATAAAATGAAAGAGATTAAAAACAAGCAAAAGGCAATAACAGAGAATAATTAAATAACATTAAAACACCAAGGATGTCTAAAGTAACAATAAAATTACTGATTAAAGACAGAGAGCTGTTATTGACCCTGTTTCTCCTGAGGATGGGAGTTGTGTGGGACTCCCGTAATTGATGAGACTATCTGTCTGTGTTCCACATTAATGTTTCTTCTCTCTCTCTCTGTCTATTATCATTTGTTCCTTGCAGTAAGTCCAGTGGGAATTCCTCCTCCAGTCTAGGAGACATGGTTTCAGGCGGGTTCAAACCCAATCCTCCCTCTGTAGGTGAGCCTCCAGACAGAAGCCTATTAGGGGAAGGGCGTCTCTCCAGGTCGAGCGCCTCGCTAGCCGTTTGTCAGAATGATTCATTAACCAACCAGAACTATGATCTAATTGTCCTCGTCTCTAACATACCATATCATTGTTGCTCAGTGTGTTGTTTATTAACATATCAAATCCGGTGTTAGAAGAACTGTCGGTCACTTCACATTAGTGAACTATGAACTGAATGGTTATGAGAGTAAATGTGCCCAATGTCATTGTTCTACTCTAGTGAGAAAAATCGAGTAAGTTAATGTGAAAATAGGGAACAGTGGCTGGAGGTTGGGTGGATGGAATGTGGAGTTGTGAGATCTTTGTGTCTTCCAGAATGTGCCATGCACGTTCTATTGGACTGGAATGAGGTGAGCCATGCACTCTCAGTCCGCTCCTCCTCTTCCTCTAAGAGGATTATGGACAAGCAGTATGTCCATGCATTGAGTTTGCTTTAAGACAAACATAACCCTATAGCCCAAACTCTGTTGGGCAATATATTATGGTTTGATGGCAAGTTAAGATCAGATATATAAGGATTTGCTCCATCTTATAACGAGGGCCACTTAACATAAATTGAAATAATACTCTCTTTATTTCAATTTCTTTATAAGACAAGAAACACTTTTAAATTATAATGCAACTTACCAAAGACTTTAGCAGACTCACTTAACAAGTGTAACCAAGGCTGTCACCTGCAAAGGAAGGTTTGGAATAGAAGCAACAAATAAATCAAGTGTTTTGACCACTAATATACTGTCTACATACTGTATATGTAGTAGTTCATTTATTTGTGTGATAAGTTATTTGTATCGATTATTGTACTCTTCAAATGTTTCCATCAGTATTAGAGTAATACTGAAAAGGTATCTCTCTGTTTTGTACTGTATATTGTATTATGTTTCTGCCTTGCATTCAAAGGCACTTATCAGTTATTTTCTCATTTTTACAGGAAAACAGAAGCAGAAAGTGGTGAGTAGTATTATACACACTTTTTATTCACTTGAATCCAAACACAATCCTAACAGGTAACCTCCGAGATCTGTAACCATGCAGAATCTGGTTGCACCCAGATTAATAATATACTTTATGTTACAGTAACGTAGTTCGGTTGGCATGTCATCCTCCATATCAACGTTTCAATCTTTATTTTAGGCATACAGACTAACTAATAGGTTTGACTTTATTCACCCCCATTAATATCTTATGAATACTATGAAGTGTCTTTGCAGACCTGATTGAGCTCACTTTAATACCATTTAGACTTGTCTTATTTAATTTAATTCCAGCCCTGGCAAGGACCAGGGCTTAATGATGCTATTAAATTGATTGACCAAAGAAAAATAGGGATTGCATTAACTGAATTGGATGGCTCATCTTTAACAATAATCTGCTGGCAATATTTTTAATAATAACACTTTGTCAGCACATTATCAGGAAGTAAAACAGAAGCATCCCAATGTCTTAATAGCATCATTTAACGGCTGATAGTTGTAATACATCCTGCTACTGTTATACTCATTATTTTGTACCTGTGTAGTTGCTCTTGTACCTGTGCAGTAACACTGTAATTCCACAGATACACTTTCTTGGTATTAAATAATGCCTAATAAAATGACCTAATGGTGAATGGCATGTTGCTGTGTCTGTCCTCCCTCTAACCCTCTACCTCCGCTACAGACTGAACACATCCCTCCCTATGACGTGGTCCCCTCCATGAGACCAGTGGTCCTGGTAGGACCGTCCCTGAAGGGATATGAGGTAGGCATCATAACAATAGTACTTTCGGTCTCTTGTATTGGTCAAGTGTTTTATTAGTCCTCCAAAATAGCTATTCAGATGACTGCAATATTTGGTTGTGTGCCGTACAGTACACCACAGTGACACCAATTCCCATCTTTCCCTTTTGGAATCAATATTGAGGACCATCAGCGTGCAGACTAGTGGTTGAGATGCAGCTTCATTGAAGAGGTTCACTGACAGTGAATAACTCCCCCGTTCATTATCAGAGTAGATATTTGGAGGTGTCCAAAAATAACAGCTATGTCTGACTTATCCATTCATTGGTAACTAACCACCAATGAGGGTTTGCAGAAAAAGGAGGGCAGCATCTTTTCCTTGGCATGTATGGGGGAAGTGGGGAGCCAGGATCATCGTCACACAGAATCACGGTTCTCATCTCCGCTCCACTGTGTTGCCATGGTAACAACCTTCTGGATAAAACACATCAGTCTGAAAAAGTGGAGCATGGCTTGAAATTAGAAACACAGAGATAAACAGCACCAGAAGAAGCTCTGTGTGTACAAGAAAATGCTTAATCTGCGTTATGATAATACAGTGTAAAAAAATTAACAAGACAATTTTGTCAAAGACAAGGTTATGCAAAGGTGGATGGAAAGGTGGGACAATTTCTTCTTCTTAATGTGCATTTTTTTGCCCAATTTACAGAGACGTGTCTATTGGTCCAAACTATCCAATTACACTACTGACTTGCGTGAACAGCATCATGCTGTTGTTATTAATGCTCAATGTCAAGAGAGCTCTATCAACACCCTTCTTTCCTCTAAAAATGTCCCTTGCGAAATGTTTTTTTTTAAATGTCTACGTTGCCGTGAAATATACTGAACAAAAAAATAAACGCAACATGCAACAATTTCAAAGATATTGCTGAGTTACAGTTCATATAAGGAAATTAGTCAATTGAAATAAATTATTTAGGCCCTAATCTATGGATTTCACATTACTGGGAAGGGGCACACCCAATGGGGAGCCGAGCCAGCCAATCCGAATGAGTTTTTCCCCACAAAAGGGCTTTATTACTGACAGAAATAATCCTCAGCACCCCGCCCCACCTCCCCTCAGACGATCCCGCAGGTGAAGAAGCCGGGTGTGGTGGTCCTGGGCTGGTGTGGTTACAAGTGGTCTGCGGTTGTGAAGCCGGTTGGACGTACTGCCAAATTCTCTAAAACGACATTGGAGGTGGCTTATGGTAGATAAATGAACATTGAATTCTCTGGCAACAGCTCCGGTGGACATTCCTGCAGTCATCATGACAATTGCACGCTCCCTCCGAATTTTAGACATCTGTGGCATTGTGTTATGTGACAAAACTGCACATTTTACAGTGGCCTTTTATTGTCTCAGCACAAGGTGCACCTGTGTAATGATCATGCTGTTTAATCAGCTTCTTGATATGCCACCCCTGTCAGGTGGATGGATTATCTTGACAAAGGCTCAAATGCTCACTATCAGGGATGTAAACAAATTTGTGCACAAAATGTGAGAGAAATACGTTTTTTTGTGCATATGGAAAATTTCTGCGGTTTGAGGTATAACTATTTCAGGTTTGATGATGAATACTACCTCCAAACGACTGGAACATGATGGGTTCCACATGCTAACCTTTATGTGGGTCATTTTGAAGAACGTTTTGTTAACAATGAAAACGATAATCAATTTTTGAATAAAGTTCCTGAAGTGTATCGATATATTGACGACATTTTTTGCATATGGGGAGGAACGGGAGAAGAGCTGTCATACTTTAAGCCATTACTCAATGAACAGTGAATATTTCTGCCACCCACATACAGGAAAACGGTTCCAAATAAATGACATTATTACGTGCTCCACCTCCCATGTTATCTACATGATTACATGTCCATGTGAGCTGTGTTATGTAGGTAAAACCTCTCGTTCTCTCAAACAGAGAATTAGTGAACATAAAAGTTAAATCAGGAGAAACTATAGGGATTATCCAGTCGCAGTACATGTTAATGACCATGCCATCGTGTCATCGAGAAAGTGAAGATCTCAGACAGGGGAGGTGGTATAAATAATACTCTGAGCAAAAGAGACTGGTTTTGGATTTTGTTACCTTTCCTGCCTCGCCTCCAGACCGTAGTCGGGACGGCTCAGGGGAGCCTTCACTTGCTAGCTCCAGGGCCAGAGCAATTTACGGATGCTCTGGGGTAATTCCCACATTTGGGGATCTTATCCGCTGCTAATGACGAGTTAGTCTGGAATTCCACTGAAGTAGTTGACATTTATTAAACTTGTACACCATGTGAGGTAGTATGAATGACAAAATAAAATAGTGGGCTAACGGAGAAAAAAGAGCGTGGCTCATAGTTCGGCTACATCACCTAGAATTGCATCAAAAACGAACGTTAATTTAATACGTTATCCATAATGCACTTTAGTGTTTTAAAGCTATACCCCTACTTTATGGAGGACTAAAAGTGCCACAATTAAATAAATAAATACACCATTAAATAATTACTTAAATGTGTCATTAATTAATTAAAATTAGAATTAAATACATAAATGTGTAATTAAATGTATCATTAATTAATTCAAATACCGATTCATTTTATGTAAAATACATATATAATTATTTCACTATTTACATTTACATTTCATGATCCTGCATTGCAGTGATTCATGAATTACTTAAAACTGTCAAACTGACCCATCAAAGTCAGTGGGCGGGGCTAACGCGAATCTAGTCTGATCCATTGCTTTGGTCTGAAGTAGAGTAGGCCAACCTGGATAGAGACAATGGAGGATCTCCGTGAACTTTCCAGGGAGTTGGTTAGAGACATTTTAAACTTAGCAGAGGATGTAGAAGCAGGACCTGCTGACATTATCCGGAATTGATTTGTCTTGGCTTGATGCAGAGGGTAACCAATCAGGCGTTAGGTTCCGCCTACCAACTTTTGATGGGTCAGTTTGACAGTTTTAAGTAATTCAGGAAGCACTCCAACGCAGGACCATGAAATGTAAATGTAAATAGTGAAATTATTATATATGTATTTTACATAAAATGAATCGGTATTTGAATTAATTAATGACACATTTAATAACACATTTATGTATTTAATTCTAATTTTAATTAATTAATGACACATTTAAGTAATTATTTAATGGTGTATTTATTTATTTAATTGTGGCACTTTTAGTCCTCCATACTACTTTACCAACAATTTTCACCCTCTAGACATTATTTCCTAAAGGTCTTAATGATGAAATGCCTATGTATGTTATGTTGGAAATGTGAACGTGAATTAATGCCACCATTTCAGATTACTCTGACGTTTTTCTTGCGCTGTACACAATGATTTATGAAAACTTGCTTGATGGGTCGATGTCCTCATTGTGGTTTTACAGACGTGTTTAATACGTTTTATGTACACACTTTATTAGAATACTTATGAAATGGACATTGTTATATTTGGTAACACTTACTTATTTTCCCTAGACTCCAACCCCATTCGATGCATTAAACTCACAAAGCTCTGACGAAGGCATGAGGCCGATACGTAAAGCTTATTAAAGAGCAGTGATACTAGCAAGCGCCGTGTGAGGGTTTCTTATTTTTTCTCATCTTATTCAACTGTTACCATGCACCTGCAAAAAAGATAGCTCAGATGTGCGAGTGCCTTTTTGAATTTTGTTCAGTGTATATAGAATATGGTTATTTTTGTGTGCGAAGGACACACAAAGTATTCAACTCCTGTCGTTATATTTGTGGATATAGCATATAACAATTGCTCCCTGCTTCTTGCTAGCCTTGTCCTTGCAACTACAGTTCTTCTCAGCTTCAGATTGTAATTGAAATACCTTGCAAAAATAGCATTAATGGAGACTGGTCTGGCCTGCTATAGCCCAATTCATCACACCGGCATGGGTTTTTATGACACTTCATTGTAGGCCTTAATCACCTTATTTAATGTAACCAAGATTAATTCTGTAGAAAATGAGGTGGAAAGAAACCAGATATCATGATTCTCCTTTGCTGGATGTCTTGGTCTAGTGGGATAATTCACAGGCAGGGCAAGAGGAGCCTGGATGTACCTAATGGTTGGATGTCATAATGAGGAATATGGAGAAATCTTTATTGGATGGGTAATGGTGGTGGATGGGGAAAGATGGGACAGGGTCTTAATTTAGCACTCATACTGAAATCGAAAAGGATGACAAGGTTGACAACTGTTCTTTTGACACCCTTGGGCACCTTTGTCCATAACATGTGCTATTTTTTAACATTGCCCATCGAGATATGTAGCTTCACCATATGAAATAGGTCTTGTCACGAGGGCTTTCTTGCCATGAGGAAGGTTCTTCGAAAGGCTTGCTGTAGCTGTGAGGAATTGTCAATACATTTCTACTGGTTTATTTCCTTTCTGGCTGTCTTAACCTTTTTCATTTTCCCTGTCTTTCTCACCCTCACTTTCTCTCTTTCCCTCTCTTTCTCACCCACACTTTCTCTCTTTCCCTTCCTTTTCTCCCTCCTTTCCTACATTTCTCCTCTTCCATCCTCTGCTGCTCTCCCTGGTTATGTGTGCTGCCTGTGCAGGTGACAGACATGATGCAGAAAGCGCTCTTTGACTTCCTGAAGCACAGGTTCGATGGCAGGTGAGGAGTCGTGTTGTCGGCGCTATCCCTGTCCCTGCATACTGTCAACCCTATCCCTTCATATTGCACTAACCCTCTGCATGCTTACTGTAGCATCAGGCTCTCAGCTGCTCCTGGCATCTATGCAAATTACTATGGTCCTCTGTAGCTCAGCTGGTAGAGCACGGCGCTTGTAACGCCAAGATAGTGGGTTCGATCTCCGGGACCACCCATACACAAAAATGTATGCACGCATGACTGTAAGTCGCTTTGGATAAAAGCGTCTGCTAAATGGCATATTATTACTATAGCTAGTGCGGAAAATACACTGAATGTACAAAACATTAGGAACACCTGCTCTTTCCATGACATAGACTGACCAGGTGAATCCAGGTGAAAGTTATGATCCCTTATTGATGTCACCTGTTAAATCCACTTCAATCAGTGTAGATGAAGGGGAGGAGACAGGTTAAAGAAGGATTTTTAAGCCTTGAGACAATTGAGACATTGTGTATGTGTGCCATTCAGAGGGTGAATGGGAAAGACAAAATATTTAAGTGCCTTTGAACGAGGTAGATGCCAGGTGCACAGGTTTGAGTGTGTTAAGAACTGCAATGCTGCTAGGTTTTTCACGCTCAACAGTTTTGTATCAAGAATGTTCCACCACCCAAAGGACATCCAGCCAACTTGACACAACTGTGGGAAGCATTGGAGTCAACATGGGCCAGCATCCCTGTGGAATGCTTTCGACACCTGGTAAAGTCCATGCCCGACGAATTGAGGCTGTTCTGAGGGCAAAAGGGGGTGCAACTCAATATTAGGAAGGTGTTCCTAATGTATGGTATACTCAGTGTAAACACCTTTCTAATTGCGTTGCACTCCCGATTTGAAGTGAATTTAACAAGTGACATCAATAAGGGATCATAGCTTTCACCTGGATTCACCTGGTCAGTCTGTCATGGAAAGAGCAGGTGTTCCTAATGTTTTGTACACTCAGGATATGTTAAGCAGTTATAAATGTTTGTTGAATACTTTGCCAAAGTACCTCATCTGACCACCTCTTTTGACTAAACGTTTTCTCTAGGATTATAAACATGGTAGTAGCCAAACTTTACATGTGGGGTTGTGACATTCTGTATCCATTGAATCTGTTGCATTTAGGATATCTATTACGAGAGTAACAGCAGACATAGCTCTGGCCAAGAGGTCAGTGCTCAACAACCCAAGCAAGCGGGCCATCATCGAAAGATCCAACACCAGGTCCAACCTAGGTATCGTCTGGATGGCACTGAATACTGTTATTCTTCACTCAGATGTATTGTATATGTTAAAAAGGAAATTATAAACTGGGTGGTTCGAGCCCTGAATGTTGATTGGCTGAAAGCTGTGGTATATCACGGGTATAACAAAACATTTATTTTCACTGTTCTAATTATGTTGGGAACCAGTTTATAATTGCAATAAGGCACCTTAGGGGTTTGTGGTATATGGCCAATATACCACGGTTAAGGGCTGTATCCAGGCATTCCGCGTTGCGTCGTGCGTAAGAACAGTCCTTAGTCATGGTATATTGGCCATATACCACACCCCCTCGGGCCTTATTGCTTAATTATACATACTTATCAAATCCTGTGTCTGTATTACACAGAATTTGTTTAATTGATGTCTTCCGATTTTGGCAATATAAAGGGTTGTTGATCCACCATCTGTGATCACTGTTCTGTTTCCCCACAGCGGAGGTTCAGAGTGAGATTGAGAGGATATTTGAGCTGGCCAGATCCTTACAGCTGGTAGTCCTGGATGCTGACACAATCAACCATCCGACCCAGCTCATAAAGACGTCCTTAGCACCTATCATCGTCCATGTTAAAGTGTCCTCTCCTAAAGTACGTTTTAGATTTCCCTTTATCCTCAAATGGTTCTAATTTTACTACACACCATGGGTGGAAATGGGAGGGAACCCAGAGGAACCAGGCTCCGAGAGTGAAATCATTTTGACGTGTATGAATTCTGCTGCTTTTATACACACACTTGTACCCAAATTCCTCTGCCATTGAGTGACATGTAAGAGTTTTTTTTAAGGTGAATTCAAAGTTGACATTTTTCAATTTCCACCCCTGACCCATGCTGATTTGTGTTGCTGCCCTCTTCTGGCTTGATTTATATACAGCGCTTGACTTGAGCAGGAGCTCATCATCAAATGTTCTACAGCTTGAGCTCCTGTTCCTCTTACAGAATATTAGCTCAAAAGTATTGTGGAGCTCCTGCACCTAACTATAAACAGTGCCAGCACTCAAAATGAGTACCGGAACCTATTTCAGTCCAAGTCAAGCACTAAATATATAAACTATCCACAGGTTCTGCAGCGGCTGATCAAGTCGAGAGGGAAATCCCAGAGCAAACACTTGAACGTACAACTGGTGGCAGCAGATAAACTAGCACAGTGCCCTCCGGTAGGTATACAATATCCCCTCAGTACACCCTGTCAACTCCTGGTCTCTGGCCTTCCACAAGGGACATTAACCCCCACAGTACACCCTATCAACTGCTACTACCAGCAACTCAATCCCTCAGTCACTAAGTCTGAATGTCTCTCTGGTCTCCCCTCTCCCTCTCCCTCTCTCTCTCTTTCTCTCTCTTAGGAAATGTTCGACATAATTCTGGATGAGAATCAGCTGGAGGATGCGTGTGAGCACCTGGCAGAGTACCTGGAGGCCTACTGGAGGGCCACTCACACCTCCCTGACCACCCCTCTCAACCCTCTGCTGGGCCGCAACCTGGGATCCACCGCCCTCTCTCCGTACCCCACAGCTATAACTGGGCTGGTCAACCAACCGGTGAATCAACCTGACCTTATTTTGACTGATATTTACCCTCTAATTTGAGCTAATTCTGGGAAACTGGTTTTATAGTGTTAAAGTACAATACCAGTCAAAAGTTTGGACACACCTACTCATTCAAGGGTTTTTCTTTATTTTTACTATTTTTTACATTGTAGAATAATAGTGAAGACATCAAAAAAGTGTTAAACAAATCAAAATATATTTTATATTTGAGATTCTTCAAATAGCCACCCTTTGCCTTGATGACAGCTTTGCACTCTCTTGGCATTCTCTCAACCAGCTTCATGAGGTAGTCACCTGGAATGCATTTCAATTAACAGGTGTGCCTTCTTAAAAGTTAATTTGTGGATTTTCTTTCCTTCTTAATGTGTTTGAGCCAATCAGTTGTGTTGTGACAAGGTAGAAGATAGCCCTATTTGGTAAAAGACCAAGTCCATATTATGGCAAGAACAGCTCAAATAAGCAAAGAGAAACGATAGTCCATCATTACTTTAAGACATGAAGGTCAGTCAGTACGGACAATTTCAAGAACTTTGAACGTTTCTTCAATTGCAGTCGCAAAAACCGTCAAGCGTTATGATGAAACTGGCTCTCATGAGGACCGCCACAGGAATGGAAGACCCAGAGTTACCTCTGCTGCAGAGGATACAGTGAGGGAAAAAAGTATTTGATCCCCTGCTGATTTTGTACGTTTGCCCACTGACAAAGAAATGATCAGTCTATAATTTTAATGGTAGGTTTATTTGAACAGTGAGAGACAGAATAACAACAACAAAATCCAGAAAAACGCATGTCCAAAATGTTATAAATTGATTTGTATTTTAATGAGGGAAATAAGTATTTGACCCCCTCTCAATCAGAAAGGTTTCTGGCTCCCAGGTGTCTTTTATACAGGTAACGAGCTGAGATTAGGAGCACACTCTTAAAGGGAGTGCTCCTAATCTCAGTTTGTTACCAGTATAAAAGACACCTGTCCACAGAAGCAATCAATCAATCAGATTCCAAACTCTCCACCATGGCCAAGACCAAAGAGCTCTCTAAGGATGTCAGGGACAAGATTGTAGACCTACACAAGGCTGGAATGGGCTACAAGACCATCGCCAAGCAGCTTGATGAGAAGGTGACAACAGTTGGTGCGATTATTCGCAAATGGAAGAAACACAAAATAACTATCAGTCTCCCTCGGCCTGGGGCTCCATGCAAGATCTCACCTTGTGGAGTTGCAATGAATCATGAGAACGGTGAGGAATCAGCCCAGAACAACACGGGAGGATCTTGTCAATGATCTCAAGGCAGCTGGGACCATAGTCACCAAGAAAACAATTGGTAACACACTACGCTGTGAAGGACTGAAATCCTGCAGCGCCCGCAAGGTCCCCCGCTCAAGAAAGCACATATACAGGCCCGTCTGAAGTTTGCCAATGAACATCTGAATGATTCAGAGGAGAACTGGGTGAAAGTGTTGTGGTCAGATGAGACCAAAATCGAGCTCTTTGGCATCAACTCAACTCGCCGTGTTTGGAGGAGGAGGAATGCTGTCTATGACCCCAAGAACACCATCCCCAGCGTCAAACATGGAGGTGGAAACATTATGTTTTGGGGGTGTTTTTCTGCTAAGGGGACAGGACAACTTCACCGCATCAAAGGGACGATGGACGGGGCCATGACTTGGGCAGGAGCTCATCATCAAATGTTCTACAGCTTGAGCTCCTGTTCCTCTTACAGAATATTAGCTCAAAAGTATTGTGGAGCTCCTGCACCTAACTATAAACAGTGCCAGCACTCAAAATGAGTACCGGAACCTATTTCAGTCCAAGTCAAGCACTAGATATATAAACTATCCACAGGTTCTGCAGCGGCTGATCAAGTCGAGAGGGAAATCCCAGAGCAAACACTTGAACGTACAGCTGGTGGCAGCAGATAAACTAGCACAGTGCCCTCCGGTAGGTATACAATATCCCCTCAGTACACCCTGTCAACTCCTGGTCTCTGGCCTTCCACAAGGGACAATAACCCAAACAGTACACCCGGACGACTTCACCGCATCAAAGGGACGATGGACGGGGCCATGTACCGTCAAATCTTGGGTGAGAACCTCCTTCCCTCAGCCAGAGCATTGAAAATGGGTCGTGGATGGGTATTCCAGCATGACAATGACCCAAAACACACGGCCAAGGCAACAAAGGAGTGGCTCAAGAAGAAGCACATTAAGGTCCTGGAGTGGCCTAGCCAGTCTCCAGACCTTAATCCCATAGAAAATCTGTGGAGGGCGCTGAAGATTCGAGTTGCCAAACGTCAGCCTCGAAACCTTAATGACTTGGAGAAGATCTGCAAAGAGAAGTGGGACAAAATCCCTCCTGAGATGTGTGCAAACCTGGTGGCCAACTACAAGAAACCTCTGACCTCTGTGATTGCCAACAAGGGTTTTGCCACCAAGTACTAAGTCATGTTTTGCAGAGGGGTCAAATACTTATTTCCCTCATTAAAATGCAAATCAATTTATAACATTTTTGACATGCGGTTCTCTGGATTTTTTTGTTGTTATTCTGTCTCTCACTGTTCAAATAAACCTACCATTCAAATTATAGACTGATCATGTCTTTGTCAGTGGGCAAACATACAAAATCAGCAGGGGATCAAATACTTTTTTCCCTCACTATATGTTCATTAGAGTTACAAGCCTCAGAAATTGTAGCCCAAATAAATGCTTCACAGAGTTCAAGTAACATACACATCTCAACATCAACTGTTAAGTGGAGACTGTGTGAATCAGGCCTTCATGGTCAAATTGCTGCAAAGAAACCACTACTAAAGGACACCAATAATAAGAAGAGGCTTGCTTGGGCCAAGAAACACGAGCAATGGACATTAGACCGGTGGAAATGTGTCCTTTGGTCTGGAGTCCAAATTGGAGATTTTGGTTCCAACTGCTGTGTCTTTGTGAGACGCGGTGTGTGTGAACTAATTATCTCTGCATGTGTATTTCCCACCGTAAAGCATGGAGGAGGAGGTGTTATGGTGTGGGGGTGCTTTGCTGGTGACACTGTCTGTGATTTATTTAGAATTCAAGGCACACTTAACCAGCATGGCTACCACAGCATTCTGCAGCGATACGCCGTCCCATCTGGTTTGGGCTTAGTGGGACTATCATTTGTTTTTCAACAGGACAATGACCCAACACACCTCCAGCCCTAATTATGACAATTTCTTCTGAATAGTCATTGGGCAAATTGGTTGTAAATAATGATTTTAAAATGGTATGAATTAGTAGTGAAGTGATACAGGATTATGATACTGGATTGCTGCCCATTTACGTAGCCTCACCGTCAAGGACTTTTTGCTCACTACTACAGGATTAAAAAAAAAAATTATACTGTTTTGAAAAAGCTGACGCTATAGTCAACTGCTGAATGACCAGATTGATACAATATGTCCTCTCCTTCTCTCTGGACAGGTCCAAAGAAACACAAACAGGAACAGCAATCACACAGCAGGAGAACACTCGCCCTCAGACGAGAACTACCACAACGAGCGGCAGAGGAAGAGCCGTAACCGCCTGTCGTCCGGCTCGCAGCACAGCCGGGACCAGGTTCACTACCCCCTGGTGGAGGAGGACTATCATGACCCCTATCAGGACACGTACAAGCCCCACCGCAACCGTAACGGCTCCCCCGGAGGCTACAGCGATGACTCCAGGCACAGGCTTTGAGCTGAAGACCCCCTTATGTCACATAGGCCTCTCTTCCCTTCACAGTGGGTACGACAGAGCCACACGACCACTCTCTAGTTTAATTGTACTGTAACAACCTTTTTTTTAAATAAAGTGTTAGTACCTCGCTTTTCCTCTGGCACTGGTTCACGCTGAAATCGTGAACATTGACAAACTAAAAATCTAATCTCTGTCCTTTTCTTGTGACTAAAAATAGGATGAGGAGCAGATTTCCACCATGTTTTTTTTTCTAAGGGAAGGCCCAACGCTGGGCTTGTCTTCTTATTTTTAACATGGCAGAGACTTGACATGGCGGGGTGGAAGGGATGACCATGTGGTCTGGCCACCACAGCTAGCAGGGCTAGATGTCGTGGTGGTCATGGTGACCCATCATCACCTGTCTCCAACCAGTGCCAGACAGCATCAAGCGTCCCTCGATCAACACAGAACTTCTTTGCACATTTCCAGGAGCCAATAGCAGCAGAGTCAGTGCACTGTATATTTAATTAATGTCACTAAGTTGTTTGAAATTGTCTTGGATTTGAGTGTTTCCAGTCCTGTAGCCTACAACCTGTTTCGCAGAGTAGGCAAAGTAACTTTGTACACATTTTGAGTGATTCTTTTTTTAGGGGGGTCCTGAATCGGAATCTTCTAGTTTCAAGGACTTCTATCCCCTTCTTCTCCTCAATAATACTTAGCTAATGCCATTTGCGATGTGCGGCACAGGACAAGAAATCACACTTTTCTAATAGAAATTTGTGAAGTAAAGTAAGTGAGTTGCAATTTTCATATCTTGTGCTCTTTCAGGAAAGGGTGCATCCCTTCGTTATATACAGTACCTTAATGCTCTAGTGTGAGGACTATGCCTATCAGTTTTTAGTATGCTGCAACCAAGAGGAAATAGCCTAATTCAAGTTTTACCATTAGTACTCATGACTAGGAATCAAATATACAGTAGAGAGGGATGATATGCCCATTGCGCTTAATTTGAACTGTTTAAATGGGTTTCATAATTTACTAATGATCAAAGGATAGGGTTTAGTGAAGATGGATATACTTCCAATCAGGGAAATATTGATCATTTGATTGATCTATACCACATTCCATTTACTGTACAAGCAGCCTATTATAGTTATGCCATTTGCATCATATTTTATTGTATTTTTAACGGTCTTGTAAGTTCAAGTGTAATATATTCAAAGAAAGTCCTGCTTGGCAAGTAAGGAAAGAACGGCTGTCAGTGGACCAAAGTTTCATTGGTTTAGAATGATCAATGGCAGCATGTCTTTTTGTCAATATACAGTATGTCATGGAATAATGATCCAGTGCTGTTATGTATGTGTTATGCCAGAACAATCCGTAGGACACTGTAGTTGAGTGAGTGACTGTTGTTTAGGACACTCATTTAAACAATGAATTTAGTCAACAGTAACACATAAGCGGATGAGAGCGCTTCATTCAGTCTGCTGTGAAGTTATATTGTTGATTTTATGAAACAAAATAAATTGTGAGTCTGACGTCAAACATTTGGTCATAATTACTATGTAAAGCGCTTTGAGTGTCTAGAAAGGCGATATATAAGTCAAATCAATTAATTGTAATTATTTGCCAACCATCAGCTATTCTTTTCAATGCCCTGTTTAAAAGTCTTCCATGAACTGGCCGTTAAAAATAAATGATGTTGTTTTTCAAAGAACTATTTTACTTTCCCAAGCATTGCATATCAAAACACCATGACAAATGAATTGTTCAAAGCCTTATTGCTTAACCCAGGCCTTGTGTTAAACTCATTTCTCTTTTCAAATTTTTTTGGTACTGTGGCAATGGAGTGGCTTCTCTCCTAACCTTATACATATCCTCAAAATGTAGCATTTTAGTTAAGAGTTTTTAGGGTCTAAATGGTTAGGAAAAATTATAGAAGTTTAGTCATATGAAGAGAGTGTGAAGGGTACAGACTGGGGAGTTGGTGGATAGAAGTTAATGTCAGAGAATGTATCTCTGTATGCTACGAGTTGTGTATAGAGCACTAATAGAGGGTATGCATCAGAAACCCCCAACCAAACAAATCACAACATATATTTAATTTGTTTTCTTCGAATACCTTCTTCTGTTGCCACGATAGCTTGATTTCCGTTAGTGCTGTATTCTATAAAGGCATGCTGGTAAAGAGAAAAAACAAGACAACTAATCTAGAGAAAAAAATGAATAATTGACTATGCAAATGTTTACAGTGCTGCATGCTGATGCTTTTCTTCCCTCGGCTACTTAGCGGCTTCATTGGAGTTCAATGAGATTGTTTCTTGTTATTTTTGTGAAATATGACATTCAAAATGGAAATGCAAAACTGCATGACTAATACAACATTTTAATTCTTCAAGAAGAAAGAGAAATATGTTTTAGCGGAAATTGATGTAAAATGAGAACTAGCTCTAGATGCATTAAAAATGAACTGTTTTATCTAATAAATTCAGAGCTCTGTTATAATGATGGTCCAGATTCCTATTTTCTTCATTGACTCCCATCTTCCGACAGATACAGTGGGGGAAAAAAGTATTTAGTCAGCCACCAATTGTGCAGGTTCTCCCACTTAAAAAGATGAGAGAGGCCTGTAATTTTCATCATAGGTACACGTCAACTATGACAGACAAATTGAGAATTTTTTTTCTCCAGAAAATCACATTGTAGGATTTTTAATGAATTTATTTGCAAATTATGGTGGAAAATAAGTATTTGGTCACCTACAAACAAGCAAGATTTCTGGCTCTCACAGACCTGTAACTTCTTCTTTAAGAGGCTCCTCTGTCCTCCACTCGTTACCTGTATTAATGGCACCTGTTTGAACTTGTTATCAGTATGAAAGACACCTGTCCACAACCTCAAACAGTCACACTCCAAACTCCACTATGGCCAAGACCAAAGAGCTGTCAAAGGACACCAGAAACAAAATTGTAGACCTGCACCAGGCTGGGAAGACTGAATCTGCAATAGGTAAGCAGTTTGGTTTGAAGAAATCAACTGTGGGAGCAATTATTAGGAAATGGAAGACATACAAGACCACTGATAATCTCCCTCAATCTGGGGCGCCACACAAGATCTCACCCGTGGGGTCAAAATGATCACAAGAACGGTGAGCAAAAATCCCAGAACGGGGGGACCTAGTGAATGACCTGCAGAGAGCTGGGACCAAAGTAACAAAGCCTACCATCAATAACACACTACGCTGCCAGGGACTCAAATCCTGCAGTGCCAGACGTGTCCCCCTGCTTAAGCCAGTACATGTCCAGGCCCGTCTGAAGTTTGCTAGAGTGCATTTGGATGATCCAGAAGAGGATTGGGAGAATGTCATATGGTCAGATGAAACCAAAATAGAACTTTTTGGTAAAAACTCAACTCGTCGTGTTTGGAGGACAAAGAATGCTGAGTTGCATCCAAAGAACACCGTACCTACTGTGAAGCATGGGGGTGGAAACATCATGCTTTGGGGCTGTTTTTTCTGCAAAGGGACCAGGACGACTGATCCGTGTAAAGGAAAGAATGAATGGGGCCATGTATTGTGAGATTTTGAGTGAAAACCTCCTTCCATCAGCAAGGGCATTGAAGATGAAACGTGGCTGGGTCTTTCAGCATGACAATGATCCCAAACACACCGCCCGGGCAACGAAGGAGTGGCTTCGTAAGAAGCATTTCAAGGTCCTGGAGTGGCCTAGCCAGTCTCCAGATCTCAACCCCATAAAAAATCTTTGGAGGGAGTTGAAAGTCCGTGTTGCCCAGCGACAGCCCCAAAACATCACTGCTCTAGAGGAGATCTGCATGGAGGAATGGGCCAAAATACCACCAACAGTGTGTGAAAACCTTGTGAAGACTTACAGAAAACGTTTGACCTGTGTCATTGCCAACAAAGGGTATATAACAAAGTATTGAGAAACTTTTGTTATTGACCAAATACTTATTTTCCACCATAATTTGCAAATAAATTCATTAAAAATCTTACAATGTGATTTTCTGGATTTGTTTTTCTCCTTTTGTCTGTCATAGTTGACGTGTACCTATGATGAAAATTACAGGCCTCTCTCATCTTTTTAAGTGGGAGAACTTGCACAATTGGTGGCTGACTAAATACTTTTTTTCCCCACTGTATGTTATCTTAAGATGTAGGCTATTGAGTTGGCCCTTCTTATCAAAAAATAATTTTCTCTTCACAAAAACAGAACACAATGCGGTGCACACCCAGTGGGTGATATAGTGAATCATCATTTCTGCATTGTGGTCAATTGTAATATCATTGATTTGTTGTGCAATTTATGTTTGTTTGACCCAGAGCCAGGTTAGACCAGTGGTTCCCAAACTTGGCGTCAGGACACTATGGAGTTCTATGAAATTGGGATCCCCTGAGAAAATCTGTAATCTTATCAAACAAATTAAGAACTTTATCTTCAAATGAGTGTAGGATACAACCTTTTAGTGTCAATTTAGGGCCTTTTACACTATTATAATGTGTTTTCATGTAATTATTATGTGTTGGGACAACCAGCGGGACCTTTAAATTGAGTGAATATGAACACAGCGTTAGGGAATATCATTTTTCCACGTGGGATCCCCTGCATTTTCTAGTGTCAATTGGGTTTTGTGCAGAAAAAGTTTGGAAACCCCGGGTTAGACCCTGCATGAACTGAATATACGGTCTTATTAAATATGTGGCATTTTGTGTATGGTTGAAATTGCCTCACTCCAAATTATGAGTGACCTAAAGTGCCTATGGATGCAGTCCTACTGGATAGTGGGCTTTGCACACATAATGTATTGTAACGTATATGGTATCACCCTAAACCTCATTCATCATAATTGTCTCTGATTTGGTAGTCACTCTGGAATCCATCCTCACTGGGCTGATTGTGGAGAGAGCATGCGTCAGTGTTGACGACTACACTCCAGAGCAAGCTAACCAGCTATCGTTGTATTATCTAGCTAGAAATGCAATAACGGCGTCCTATAATTCTATTTCGTCCATAAAGGAAAGGCCTTCGTGCAAAGATGAGAACTTTATCAATAGTCGTTGACATTACTGGTCTCTTTTTCACCGTCAAATATTGCCAGGTCGTGTGACTGCATTGCCTGCTTAACGTTAGCAACATCTTCAGGAATTCGCTAGATATCAAGCTAGCCAGTCAGCTACCTAGCTAAATTACTGCGAAATTGGTCGTAGTTAGTTGCCTCCAAAGGCTCTACAACAACAGCCATGGGAATAATTTTCACCAAACTATGGAGGCTTTTCAATCATCAAGGTATGTCGGACATTCTATCGTTGACGTCGAGTGTGTAGAGATCTAGTTAGTGTAGCACGTTTGCTAGCGGCTAACGTATTCAGTGGGTAACTAGTATCCAGCTGAGTTAATGTTATCTAGCTAGTCCAGCTGTTAGCCAACAGCCAAGCCTGTTCCAGTGTTTACAAAGCTGATAGCTAACTAGCTTGCTTGCTATTGCATCATAGATTTTTGTTGCTGTAAAGTAATTATAATAATAGTTTTTTTCATATCCCAACTTCCTCTGACTGAGACGCCACCCTCTGAGAGGGGGGTCACGGCAAGGGCCTGCCATTATCAACGGCGACCCTGGAGCAATTAGGGTTTCGCTGTACCTGCAATAACATCTGCAAATGTGTGTAATTTGATTTGAAGGGCACATCGACAGTTTTTTCACCTTGTCAGCTCGGGGAACTAGCGACCTTTCGGTTACTGGCCCAACGCTCTAATCGCTAGGCAACCTGCCGTCCACACAGTACTGTAGTGTAATAACCAGGAGGTTGGTGGCACCTTAATTGGGGAGGACGGGCTCGTTGTAATGGCTGTAGTGGAATAGTATAATTCCATTTGCTCTGTTCCAGCCATTATTATGAGCCGTCCTCCTCTCAGCAGCCTCC